TTGTCTCTATTAGCCAGCAGAGCAGTTCAAAAGAGGATGGAGAGCAGGAGAGAAGGGCATTGATGTCATGCAACAAAAGTCCTGGGCTGGACTCAATCTCAGGACTGCCAGCTGCACATATTTTCTACAAAAATGAGACTTTCTAGAAAATTGGATTCTTAAGCCTCAGACAAAAAAAAATCCATTAGTCCTGTATTTATTAGAAACTCTAATCACTTTGTTCAGAGGATTTGTGGTCTCCATACAAATCATTATATCCCTCCTGCTTGTAAGTCTTTTAATTTGTGCTTCGAAGTACACAGTACATGCCCAAACTAATCTGATCTTTATTTGTCCTTTGTGCTTTTGAGACGGATTACTTATTTGAAAAATCAATTAGATTGCATCATTTACCAGCTGGTCTTCAGCCATCATGATTTGCCCTTTTTTTGTGTGTGGCGTAGCATTTGCTTCATCTGTCTCTGTGACAGTAATTCAGGAACCAGAGAACATAAACGTTGGGTTGTAAGATAAGATGAATCTGTATTTATCCTGAGGGAAATTGCTGTGCAGCAGCTGCTATACAAAGTGGGAAGAGTGCAAATATAAAAAGGGGGGGTCTCACTGACACCAAATTAAATGTGAAATGATATGATTTGATTATGAATTTAATCACTGAGCCCAGGGAACACACCTATAGCTTTAGGGCTGATGTGTGCAGAAAATCCTAATTCTGCTATTTGAGACCTGTGGTTTCTAGTTTTGAGAGTTGTTCCTGTAAAGCAATGGTTCCAAACCGGTGGGTCACGGTCCAAAAGTGGTCTTGGGTCCATTCTAAATAATGATAATGATATAATAATAATGATCTTTATTTATAAAGCACTTTTCAAAACAGACTAAGAAAGTGCTTTACATGTCAATAATTAAAACAGAAGACATGAAAACAACAACTTTTAAAAGGACTGATAAAAACACTTTAGTGTATAAAACTGAGGAAATAAAGACAGTCTAAGTTAACTTAAAACTCATTTAAAATCAGGAAAAGCTCTCCAATGAAAGTTTATTTTAAGAAGGGGCTCAAAAGATATCACTGACTTGGCCGACCTGATTTTCTTGGGCAGACTGTTCCAGAGCCCTGACAGCAAATGCTCTGTCCCCTTAGTTTTTAGCCAGGCCCCTGGAACAGACAAAGGACCTTAAAGTACATCCTGGTATGCACAGCACTAAGAGGTTAGAGGTATAGCTGTGAGAGAGACCATAAAGAGCCTTAAAAAGCATCAGTAATATCTTAAAATCTGTTCTAAAACATACTGGGAGCCAGTGTAAAGAGGCTAAAACTGGGGTGACGGGATCACGTCTCTTGGGTCTGGATAAAAGCCTGGCAGCTGAATTCACAATTATAATCTGCAACACTTTTAATTCAAGATGTCAGATGAATGTAGTAAAGTTAAAAGAATCTTAGGTGTATTTGTCTTTGTAATGTGGAGTAAAACTAAAACGTGGCATAAAATTTAAATACTAAAAATGCACAATATGCAATTTTTTTCCACTTTCAATCGAAACAAAATCAAAAGAGGGAGCAATTGCATTGCAATCAGTTTCTCCCGGTTAGAATTCCTTCAGTGTTTACCGTTGAGACATTTTTTAAAAGGAGCTGAAATATCCGCAGAGGTTAAACCTGTAAAAACATTGAATAAAGCAGTTTCACGTTACAAACAGGTGTTTCTCCGACTCATTTCGGCACATCATGGAGGGGCTGCTAGCCCAGCATCTGCTACTGTTTGCTCACTTATTTTCTCTGATAACTGAAAAGCCAGACGTTAAGGAGCTATTTAGAGGAAACAAAGTAATTCACCAAAGATTCTTCTGCCACAAAACCAATTGACCGTGTGATTTAAACTAATAAAAACACTAAATAAAGCAGTTTCACATTGAAAAGCAGTGTTTTCTTTGGTGCTGTTCGGCACAGCAGGGGCTGGAAACGTTTGCTCAGCTTGTTTCTCTGCTAACTTAAGATCCAGACGCCCAATTACTTAAAATCCTTCATCTGGTTAAAATATATACAAAGCTAAAAAAGACCAAGATCTACAAAGTGTATCATAAAAATGTGGCTTAAAACTGGATAAAAAGTCCATTTATGACAGCAGCTTGCAGACAACCGCAGCCCAGACACAGGCACAAAGAGGGATATGACAATAATGAAGCCACTGACAGTCAACAGCGACCAAATGACACAGGCCATGTCCTTAATTAAACTGACAGATTTCTTGTGGTTTGAAAATTGTTGGAAACATTTGGAATAATGTGAGTATTACAACTTTGCCAAATATATAACACTGGTTTAGTTGTTTTTAGGCATTTCAATGTGGAAAAGTTACATATAGGTTCTTAGGTAAAGTAAAACTACCTCAGAATTCTTGTGTTGTAGGCCTCCTTTGTACGCAATGTTTGTGAGTAATTTGAACAAATATCTAATGAATGCAAATGGTTACAATTGTCTGGAGGTTGCCAATTAGTAAATGCCTGCTGTGTGTTTTGCAGCACACCCTCAGAGGCCTCTGCACACTGTAGTAATTACAGGCCAATAAGGACCGCCACCTCCTCTCAGAGGCTGGATTGATGAGTGTGGGGCAGAGTGATGTGTGATTTAGGCCTGAAAAGCTTAATTTAGACCCGCACTATCGACTGTGCCCCGCGCACACAGGGCCTCCCTGTTGTGGACTTAAACTGTGGCCGGAGTAATTGTCTTCAGGTCAGTTCAACAGCGTACGCAGAAATGCACATTCTTCTGTAGTTTCCCAAGCCTTTCCACACTCCCTTATTTTGCCTTGAGAAAGCACTGACCTTAGCCACCGGGGCGCCGTGTGAGTGAGTGAGGGAGAGAGAGAGTAGTGTGTAGTGTGTGTGTGTGTGTGTGTGTTGCATGCTCTTGGCAACATGCCTAGTGCCTTCCCATTCACCAACACAGTGATCTTTCAGTTGCAGAGACTGAAAGGCAACTTCTACTTATCCTGGGAGCTATACGTTAGAGATGTATCTGGGTGTTAGATCAAAAATCCGCTTGTGACGTTGCATACCTGCATCCACGGGCACTCTTTGATATTTAGTCTACTGTGTAGGATTTAGTGGCATAAGGCCATGAGGTTACAGATTGCATCTAACTGAAACTTCTCCCTTGAGCCAAGGCTGTAGGAGAACTATGTTGGCCGATGTGATAACGTGGATGGTCCTGTCTAGAGACAGTGTTTGGTTCATCAGTTCGGAGCTACTTTAGAACAACGTGTCAGACTCCCTATGTAGATCATGGATGTACAAAGACAACTGACACGGGGTGACGTGGTGGTGATTTTGCAAAACGTCACTTGAATTAACACGCACTGACCAAGAAGAGACCCAAAAAAGCAGGCTTACAAAAAGGTGCAAAACAACCACAAAGAGACACAGGAAGACAGGAAAGAGACACAAGATGACTATGAGACACAAACCGACCAAAAAAAAGATACCAAATAGCCTTAAAGAGACACAAATGACTACAAAGAGACAAAAAATAGATGTGTAACTACAAAGAGGCGCAAAACAACAGCAAGAAGCTAAACAGCGTCTTGCCCCTGTGTGAAGAGGTGGTGGGGCCTTTTGCATGTCTGAGCCCAGGGCCGAACTTTCTCACAACCTGTCCATGCTCTCATTAAGGTGTAACTGTCTTCTGTGGACTCAGTGGGGATCAATAAATTGTGCATCTTAAGTTTCTTCACAAAATGACATGTGTGACCATTAGATGGTGCCAAATACACAACTCACAACACTTCCCTGGCGGTAACGAGACGCACAGAGTGAAGAAGTTCCAGGTGTTTGGTGACTCTTCTTCCTCAGGTGAACCTCACACTGCAGCCCCGGAGCAGACCCACTGATGTCTTCGTGTTTCCGGATGGTTGGTTAGAATTCAGCTCGTGTTTGGAGGTCACTGCTCCGCTATGCAAATCAACCCCTCTGCTCCTTAAGAGCCCTCTGTTCTGCTCCGGGGGTCAATGCAGAGTGCCAGGCCGCGGAAACACCAGCGGTTGTCAGGGAAGCTCTTGAGCAACGGGGCCTTGGAGGAGGGAGGCAGAATCTCATTAGATTTCCTCCGATGAAGAAGGTACATTGTTTGGAGGTCCTGGATCTGACAAGACGAGCCCTGGAAGTCAGACGTGGAAAATATGCCATGTGACCGGTGCCAGTATTCAAAAAGATGCCTATACACCCTACAATTCTCTTTTATATTAATGCGCTCAGCCGGTTAGTATTTATTGCAGCCGGCGGCATCATTAAGCAGCGGCATGTGCGCACAGTTCAGACCGGCAGCTGTTGAAACAAGTCTGATCACAAATGCGGGCTTGCTGGTCACATTTAATAAGAAATAAGGTGTGCAGGAGGGCGTTAGGCACCTGCGTCACGTGTGCTCTGACCGTGCGCGCACCAGCCAGTCACCTTTAAGAAAAAAGACTCTCCAAAGTTGCATGTTTCGTGTCTTTTCTTGTCTGTTTTGGTCAATATACTTGTGAATAACTTCAATGTCACCATCCACAGCAGAGTGGCATTTTAATTATGGGGTGCTACGGCTTCAAACGCCTATAGAAACTTTCCCATTCAGAGCCCGCCCGAGCAAAACTGTGAAAAACAGTTAATTGGAGCGGCGGAGCTTTGAAGCGAGCAAAGGCCTGAAACTGGAGGAGAGGGACCTGCGAGGTTCTACAATAGGTAAAGAGGAAATAGAAAACCCACAGAGGGGAACTGAAACCGTTCAGGTTAATCCCACGTGTAAATGTGACAAAAAAAAGTGAGGAAAAAAAGTTTTGGGTTGGTCCGCAGGTTGCGCAAAGTGTACAGACAGGGAGAGGGATGAGCGCATTGGTGCGCGCTGGGAACCATCCGGACAAGGGCTGAAAGACGGATATTCCCTGCCTCAGGACACACCCTCCATGCTCTCCCTCTCTCTGTCTCTCCCTCTCATTGTTTCCCACACTGACTGTGTTGCCGCCGGGCTTCGTATCGGGTTAACAAATGACCACCCAGCCGCTTAGATGAGAAGAGCGCAAAGTGAAATCATTCCGCTGGAGAGACGCAACTTTGGTGCCTGCTTTCACGCACTCATCACGACGTGGGATGTTATGAGGTCTCTTTTTCATTTTTTGTGTGTGGCTTGATCAGGCTTGGAGAGAGACAGAAGAAGGAGAAGAGAGAGTGTGAGCTAATTGGGATGAGAGTTCAAGTGAAGTGAGCCGGCAGATTGGACCTTTAAAGCCTCTTAACGCAGGTGGTGGGAGGAATACAGCGCAAGGGGAGTGTGTTTGTGTGCCCTGTAGGTGTTTGTGTGCATGTGTCATTCCCAGTGGAAATCCACCCTGGACACAGCGGCAAGGGGGTGATCAGGTGTGTGTGTTTGTGGGTCTGTGGGTTGGGAATAAATCCAAGCTGGTTCCAAGGCAGAGGTAGTTATGGTTTCTCTGACCTGGACGCGATGAAGTGGCTCTGCGGGTGTTTCAGGGTTTAAGACCGGAGAGTAGGAGAGCTGGGCGGACGGACGGACGCAGCGAGGGAGGAGGAGGGGGACACCACCATCACCACCACCGCCGCCGCCAAAGCGCACAACACGGTCCCCAATCCTCTGACGCAGGGATGGAGAGCACAAGAGCGCACAGGCTGACTCGGGTGGATCCCAGGAACGGGAGCGGAAAGATCACCGGGAAGCCAGACATGAGGAGTGACCGACACCGTGGACACCTCCACCTGCAGCGGACTGTGATTTTTCTCGCCGCGCTCACGATACAACCACAGGTAAGCCACCGATTAAGTGCTATTTCGGGCGGCATGCCCTTAAACCTTCGTGGCGGACTTTTAACTGTGGTTAAGCCTGTATTTCTCATCACAGCTGCGTGAAAACAGTCAATAATGGAGTCCATACACACTGTCCCTTCCCTCTTTGTGCTGCCCTCATTCTGCTCCTACATGGCGCTGTGCCCACCTGTTGTTTCAGCCCGCTGGTGCCTATTATCCCACGCAACTGAAAACTACTGTGGTCGTGTTTTAGAAGCATGGGATGCAAAGATCACAGCAAAATATGTGTTTGCATACAAATATTACAGCTAAATCACATTTTCATCATTATAAATAAGTCACTATTTATTATTATAGCCTATGCCAAACAGAATATAATGAGGCAGAGAACATTAATCAAGCATAATAAGAGGTTAAAGCTGATTTAATTTTGGGTATTCAGTGCTGAATAAAACCCTAAAGTCTTCTTGAGGGACTGTGATGGCTCCTCAGTGAAATAATGGAGAATCAAAAGCACCTTAATTACGCACCACACCCCCTTATTACAGCTTCCACTTCTTGTTCGCTGGTTAATAAAGGAGTGACTGCATCTGCATTTCTCTGCATCTCCATCTTTAGCATTTGCCTGCTGGTGCATTGTCTATATATATATTTATATATTTATTTTACAATTATCAGCCACTTTCTGACTGTTCCTTATCACCTCTGTCGTTATATCCCTTGGTTGCATGGATGCAGACTTTCTTTTGTGTGTTATAAAGCTTTGTAGATTACAGCATGGTCACTGCAGCAACTTGTATAAATGCATCTGGCAAGCTGCTCATGGTATTGTGGGCATTATTGTGGCAGCATGGAAAGCTTTTGTCTCTATGCCAACATCATATCAGGCATGAAGGTGCAAAACCACAAAATATTTTTCCCTTTCTTTGCCCTGCGAGCTGTCAAGAAGCTGCTGGCCTGATCAGGATGTGTGACAGGACCCAGCAGTAGCAAGAACAGGCCCAGAGGTGCTCTTCAGTATGCACGTGTGTGTGACTGTGAGTGTGTGCGCGTGTTTTTTCTGAACACTGAGCTCACATCCAGCATCTGTGTCTTGGGTGTGTGTGGAGCCCGGGGCCACAGCCGAGTAAACTCCAGGGCGTGTGAATGTTGAACGTTCGGGCAGCTCTGCATGTCTCTCTCCGCACCTCTGCAACCTCTTCACAGCTGAAGAACAACACACTCCACTCCCTCCATTCTCTGACTGCACTGCAGTGAGAAACACACACTCTGGATCCACTGCTGCTGCTGGTGACTATTTATTAATGCAGGAGGCAGGAGGCCATGTTCATGAGGAGGTACCCAGTGCTGCTTAGAAATTAGTGGTTCATAAGTGAAGCTTATTGACTGTCCAGTGGTCACTTCATGTTGTCTGTTGTCCACTTTGTCATTCCCCAGGTCTCACACTGCAGCATAGTGTGAGCAGATACTGTGACAATGTGAATTTTAGCTTTGCAAAATCATTTTCAGTTTGCCAGATCCAAAAGGTAAAATTTGATTAGTTCACACTCTGTCATTAGATTTCTCTAATATGTGTCTCGCTTCAGTGGCATAAACTGTTTCCCACAAAACAGAACGTGTATTTGTTGGAGTCTTGATAAGCACTGGGGCACAAATTGGTGCATAAAAATCCACTAGAATTTAAGAAATTAAGTGTTTGATGCCAAAAATGTTCTTGCAGAGGATGCCCCAAACCTTCTACCTCATATATGTCCCCCCCAATGTTGAAACAAAACCTGTGCCCTTGCCTCCAGATCAGTTTCAGTGTGACTTGACAAGGTGTAGAGATGCTGATTGAAGTACAATAATACAGGGCTGCAATCAAGAAATATTTTATTATCAGTTAATCTGCTAAATACTGTCCATTATTACCTCTGCCAAGGAGGTTATGTTTTCGCCTGCATTAGTCTGTTTGTTTGTCTGTCTGTTTGTCTGCAAAATAACTCAAAAAGTTCTGAATGGATTTTGATTTAATTTTCAGGAAAGGTTGATAATGGGACAAGGAACAGATGATAAAATTTTGGTGGTGATCGGTTGAAGCGAAGTGGATAAAATAATTAAATGGCAGGAAATCCGAGCTGCTTAGCGAAGGTCTGCGCTCTCCGAGTGTTTTCCTAGTTTGGTCTGTAATATGTCAGAAAATAGTTTAAATGCTGACACAAGTTCACAAGTCTAAAGTGACTTCTATCAAAAGCTTGTTTTATCCGAACAATAATCCTAAACCCAAAGATACTCAGTTTATTATCATAACAGACAACGTAAAACAGGAAGTCTTCTCGTTTGGCACTTTTTTCCAACTATCTTTATTAGTTTCTACACATAAGTAAACTGTAGTCACAAAAACAGTGAAAGAAACAGGGTTCTGTGATGTCTTTAAGAACCACCATCTCACTCCCAACCATCCATTCATTTTTATTGAAAATTAACTTAAATGATTAATCGATTATTATCAAAAGTGTTTCCCATAATGTTTTCTGTTGATCATATAATAGATGAACTGAGCATTTGCAGTGACACAAAAATTGTATTTTAAAGCAGGGGTGTCAAACTCATTCTAGTTTCTGGGACTCATACAGCCCAATTTGATCTCAGATGGGCCGGACCAATGTAACCAACCTGTAAGTACCATCAGCTTCAAGTAGATTCTGTAGATGTTCATCCTTTTGCAAAACAGATAAACAGCCTGAGCTGTCTAAAGTAAAATAAGTGCAATTTCATCAGTATGTCTCAGTTTTTCCACACCCAGTCAGTCTACTTCACACTGCCATTTCACATGCACTTATCCACACATTTCCTAATACAGATTCTTTTGAGCTGAAGCTGCTCATTGAGAATATTTTGCACAACGTTCAATATCTTTAAACATGGTCACAGTAGATATTCATCAATATATCAGAGAACTGTATTCTGATCAGGGTGGAAAAGCCTCTGAAGCAGAATTTTACATGAAGTATGCATTGTTTAACTTGTGATGTTTAGGCTCAAAGAAACTCTCAGGTATACTGAGAGCAAAGTTGTGTCGATTATTGTGAGTCATCCTGACATAGTTCAAATATTTGATGTTTGTCATTCTGTTAGTTTGCTTTGTGCCTTTGGATGGTGTCGTTACAGTGTGAACTACAGTTGTCTTACTCAAACTGCAGCACTTGATACAATGAAAAACATTTTACTGAATTATTGTGATTTCCTTTAACTTTTTCTTCAACCCTGCGCTCAAAGCTCTCCTGCAGAGATGGTCTGAGCCCCAACTGTCCCTCTCCCTCTCTGTCTCCCTCTCTGTGTCTCTCTCTGGTCAGCCTGAGCGCTGAAATGCTGGTATGCAGGGAATGGCTCGGGCAGCGAGAGGAGGAGAGGAAGAAAGGAGGATGTAGAGTGATGAGCGCCACTGTATCTCCACAAGCCTTTTGATGTAGACCAGTTCACCCCCCTCTCCATCTCCCTGACCCCTCCCACCTCACCCCCTCACCCCCGCTCAGCTCAGGGACAGGGGCAGGAGAGGGACACGCAAACCAAACACAATGGGGCGACTGAGATCCTGGCCCATGTGCTGGGCAGCAGAGACATGAGAGTGTGTTGGCCGTGGTGATTTCTGTCCATGATGAAGCGCACAACACCGCGGGGGATATATGACTCTGATTCTTGGACTTAATGAGCGATCATTAAGTTCGGTGTTTGTGCGAGAATGCCAAAAAGGGGCTGTGAATTATTCAGATTTATTCATCAGTGGGGGTTTCATGGCAAACTGAGATAACAGAGGCTTCATGTTTTTGTGTCTGCAGTTGTTGCAAGAAGCCAAAGCCATTGTTTTATTCTGCTACAGTGACACACAGACAGACAGACAGGAGCACACACACACACAAACAAACATGCACGCACATACCTGACCCCGGTGCTCCGAGAATCCCAGGGGGTCTTGTTAACGGTAGTGTGTGTGTATGTCTGTGTGTATCTGTGTGCCCCCTCCACCCATCTTTAAACAGAGGGAGGGAACACAGAGAAAAGAAAGGGAGACAGATGAAAAGGAGTACGGCAACAATGCAGAGAAGAGTTGATAACCAAAGAAAAAGAAATGACAGGGTTGTTACAGCTTGTTCTCTGATAGAGAAAGAAGGGAGGGAGGAGGAGGAGGAGGAGTACCCTTAGTGTCATCGTCCCCAGGGAAGAGAGAGTGAGAAATAAGAAGGGAGTGGTGGTGGTGACACAAAGGTGGAGTGAAAGAAGAAAGAAAGATGAGAAAGTTGAGCGATAAACAACATTAAGTGGCAGTAGTGTTGTGGTGTCTGCATGATTTGGATGGAAAAATTTGATCTGGCCTCTATTGGAGGTCAGACAGAGTTGTGGTGATCAAAGTTATGTCTTGTTAGGCTATCTATATCTTACTTTTAAGGAGAAGATGTCTAAACTCACCGACAGAGTGAAGGGATTCTGGTTCTGTTCTCAGTTTACACTTAGTGTTTGGTCCTATGCAGCCGTCTGTCATTAATAGTTTTGCTGAATTAGTTCCTTTAGAGTTCATTTTAAAAAATGGTGGTTCTGCACAAAAGTTGCCAAACCATCATCCCCAAAATGGCCTTTAATTTCCTGCAAAAGCTGGAGGTTTGTGTGTCCTTACAGTGGTCATCAGTTATTTCTGATGATGACCATTAACAATAAATGAAGAAGACATGGTGAACCTTCATCTTTGCTGTCTGTCATATTTTTGTGGTCTAAATGTTTGATGTCAGGAACAATCTGACAACAATTGAGGAAGTTAGAAGAATAGTCTGTAGAAATATGCTCAATCACTTTCTTGTGGAGAGTCAGATGAGAACATTGACACTACTCACATGTCTGTACAGTAAATATGGAGCTACAGCCAGGAGATGATCAGCGTAGCTTAGCATAAAGACTGGAAACTGGGGGAAACAGCTAGCCTGGCTCTGTTTAAAAAATCTCTCCAGTAGCACGCCTAAAGCTCACTAATTACCATGTTATATCTCATTTGTTGTACAAAAACCAGAGGGTAAAAACAACAATTTATAGTTGTGTCTGATATTTTCTTTAATCACTGCTGAAAGTCTTCACATCTGCCTCTCTGCAAGAAATCTCTGGTCTCGTCTAGCCTCTGTTACACATGCTTTCATTTTTCACTGAAGGCTTCTTTCATCTGTCTTTCTGAAATACTTTCTGTCCATTTTTGTAATTTAATTGGTATCTACAACCATGTGCGCGGGAACATATTTTTTCTGAAGGGTGCTGCGCAGTGTAAACGCACCCACTTAGGTGAGACAGTTGCCAGCTGCAGAGAGCTGTTCTAGACCAACAAAAAACAAAGAAAACATCGGTGACAATTCAAGCAGCAATGGTGCCACCAATCTGGTGGGTTTTTTAAGACATCGGTGACAATTCAAGCCATGATTGTGCCACCATAAGCAGTTACTTTAAGCTAGAACAATAAGGTACAAACGTTACACATCTGTGGTTTGCAGAAGTCTACATTTCGTACATTCATTCTGATGATTTGGTCGAGGAGCTACAGGACAGCTTCTCAGATGTACTCACATCAGTGGTTTCATTATTCCAAAGAATCTGCACTCTCTCGCCTCAGACACAATTCATCTTTGGACTGCATGTGCCAAAATTTCTAATATTTCCCTTTGAATGGTGGCGGACATCAGTGTTCTGCTGACTGAAACCACTCACTTCCCCGAGGCAGATCATAATGTTACGTCCGCTCATTATTAGCTCCCATAAAACTCCATCCCAATAGATGTGCCCCCACAGTGGAAGTCCTTCCTGTCCAAGATATTTTATGGCTCTGAAAAGCAGCCCAAAAACTGTCCTGGCACATTTCTGGTCTGTCTTATTTGGTTCAGTTAGAGTGCTGCTACCGCAAATTTCTCTTCAAATTTAACATTTGTTGCCCCTGACCCTTAAACTTTGACCTCACGTGATGACTTTTTCACATCGGATTGGAATGATTTATTCAGTTTCCACAATTTAAACATGTGTTTTTATGTATTTATATTTATGACAGACACCTCAGTATATCCCATTGAAAATTCAAAACAAATATTCACATAGCCTGTGAGATATTGGTAAAATAGCCAATCATTTACAGACTGTGTTGTTCCACCCCTTGTTAATAGGGGGTACTGTAGCACCCTCAGCACCATCTACAACTTTCCTAACCAGCAAAACACAAACATGTCCTCATTTTAAAAGCCACACCATCTTTAACTTAGCAACAATCAGTGAGCTGCAGCCTCTGCTTCCTCCACCATGAGGCCACCTGACTTTAAAGGCCCACTGTGAAGGATTTAGGGGGGTGTATTGGCAGAAATTTAATTTAAGATAATAAGTATGTTTTCTTAGTGTAGATTCACATGAAAATAAGAATTGTTGTGTTTTCATTACCTTAGAATGAGCTGTTTTAATCTACATATGGAGCGGATTCCCCTCCACAGAGTTCGCTATGTTGCACTGTCATGTTTCTACAGTAGCCCAGAACAGAAAAACCAAACACTGGCTCTTGACAGGGCCATTCATGTATTCACGTCAGCCACCATAGTTCTCCTACAAGCTTGGCATACAGGAGAGGTTTCAATTTGCAACCTCATCCGCTAGATGCCACTAAATCCAACACACTAGGCCTTTAAAGTGTGCAGCGTGCAGCATGCAGCAGGCAGCATGCTGTGACCTGAATGTTCACACAAATTTAAATTACCCTACCTGTTGACTTTATGCATACTGCTGTAAAGCATTAGCCTGAGTGTCAGACTGAAGCTCCCAGAACCTTCAGTCTGACATGGCTTCCATTGAAGGCGATTTACAAGGGGGAGAGAATTTGATTTTTCCCTAACCAATCAGTAGAGATCAATGACTCACCCAGAATCTGACGTCATTAGTATCCATGCCTCGGGGGTGCCGAAAACAAGCGCACATTGCCCGTTTAAAATGTCTCCGTCGTTGTGCACGCCCAGCTGCATCACCGTTAAATCCAGTTTAGCAGCTTCCTTAATTTGGTCCTCCATTAACGCGAGTAGTGGCAAAATACCTCAATAGGATCGTTAATGTGGTCTGTAGGATCTGTAGCGGTCGCCATTGTTGCTATCCTCACCAGTTACTCACCGGCGCACAGCTTGACATCAGCGTGGCGCTGATTGGCTAATCGCTAGACCCGCCCACACCCCCAGTGTTCATTGGTCCTTCCATCATTTGGACGAGATAAAGCGCAAATTCATTGCAGTATGCCAGACCAGAGATGCAAGCCTACTCAGTTGAGTGGGCGGGGTCTCTGGTCTGGAACCAGGCTAGTAAAGCATATAACTGCTCATCTTTCCATGCACTGTGCCTATTTAGTAACCAACAATGTTAACTCTCTCTTTCCCACCCTTCTCCTCTCTCTGGACTCAGGCTGTGTGTGCAGTCGGGATGTTTGAGCTTCAGATCCATCACTTCCAAAACCCGCTTGGACTTCTGCAGACTGGAGACTGCTGCGACCTCCAGGCCAGTGGGGGGCAGCGCTGCTCTGCCAGGGACCAATGTGACACTTTCTTCCAAGCCTGCCTTAAGGAGTACCAGGCCCGGGTTGTCCCAACCGGAGCCTGCACCTTCGGATCGGGCAGCACAGGGATCCTGGGTGGAAACTCCCAGTCGCTTCGCCACCGAGGACACGAGGCAGGAGGAGGAGGAGGAGAGGATGGGACTAATGGACACATTGTCATTCCCTTCAAATACGCATGGCCAGTAAGTACAGGGGCAATGCTGGTGATCAGTATGGTTACCAAGGGAACAGGCTAAGCTTCAAGTACAACAATACACTCAAACTGAGGCTAGAGTGGAATAACAATGATGAGTTCAGAGTCACATGCTTTTACACCTTTTCTCTCCTCTTGTGTGAGGCTGAAAGTACTGGAGAGCTGGGCGACAAATTAAACACAATAACAAAAACCCCTTTTAAAAAAATACTACATGGTATAATTTTATAATCACAGTATCTGTTTAGGTATGGGAATATCCTCCTGTTAAACTAACTAGTTAATGTACATCACAGTGAATTTCAGTAATCCTTTATGGAGACATTTTATTTTTAAGTGACTGCTTTGATTCGTAGTGTTAATTCAGACAATGAAATTATAGCAGAAGTGGGGCAACTTGCCCTAAACAAAGAGTAACTTCACAAAGAGTCAATACAATTTGTCCCAATCCTACTGGGGAGAAAACAGAGGCACTATTTCACACAGCATTCACCATATATTTAACGAGGCTGGCTATGTTTTAAACGCATAGCTTGCAACCAAGAACTGAAATTTTACTTTGACCAAAACTTTGATTAACAACCAAATACCCTTAAATCTAAATACATTCCCAACTTTAGCTGTACTTTGTGTTTAGTGTTAATTAGCAAATGTCAACACACGTTAACTAAGATGGTGGTAAATATTATGAGCTACATGTTAGCATCCCAACTATTGTGTCACCTCACGTGGTCTTTGTCACAGCTAGGAAGTTGCACCTGAACAACCTGAATTTATCGTTCAAAAAGAGAAACCGTAAGACGGACAGGACAGATTAAGGACGCTAGTTAACCAGTTAGCACATTAACAACACAAGCTGATGTTGAAAGAACAAAGAATGTTTACTGTAAACTAGCGAACAATTACGATTACAAAATTTTTCTGCTAAAGAAATCTAAGGCTAAAACAACAAGTTTCTTTTGACCTCACCCCCTCTTGACTTAAGTCATTTGTTTGCTTTCCTCACTTCTCTTTCTCTTCCTGTCCACTGAACAAAACTGCCACAGCACCTGGCCTGGTCAGACCCCGATTTAACATGCCAAATTGGCCAAAAATAAGCCGACAAGGGCTGACTAGTGCCAACAGTGAAGGACACACCACAAAAACAAGAGCAACAGACACTCATCTGCGGCCCAACATTAACCAATGGACAACCACCGGCTTGGTGTGTCAGGGACTATAGCATATAGCTCAAGGCAACACTGTGCCATTACAATGATGCATTTTCATATAGTTGGTCTCTAAAACCCTTCAAATTAAACAATTTGAGAAGGGAAACTATCTTTTTTTTTACACTGAGGCCAGAACTGTTATCAGGTAGACCTTAATATAAAATGTCAGAAGCCATAAAGGTTGGAAACTGTTTCGACAATCACATACAGCAATAGATGATAAAAGACATTACACCACAACTATATTTTAGAGTCTCATTTATAGTTTGATACTCACTATGTGCTACTACACAATAATGTTTCTCCCTCCTTCCACAGAGTCACATTTTTTCTTTCCTCTGCGCCTTTCTCTTTCTCCCTCCTTTCCTCCATCCATCCTGAACTTTCTGCACTCAAACTTTTGGTCTTTTCGTTTCCTCCTTCGGGGTGTATCGAACAACCTGCGTCTCGATCACACATCACGCTGCCGGCTGCTCCATCTTGCATCCTCATTAAAGAGCAGACCAATTAATCTGCCATTAACACAACAGTGAGCGAGTGTGGCCGAGTAGGAGATATCGATTATTCAATCCACCTTACTCTTTCCTCCTCCATTCCTCCCTCTCTCTCCCTTTCTTTATTTCTTTTCCAATTATGTAGAAAAAAACTGAAAAAAAACCCCTCAAAGATTAGTAAGCAGGATTAAAGGAGTTTTTCCCCCTCACCACACAAATTAATGTGTGTTAGCCCCTATAATTGACTATCTGTCTACTATGCATCGTGCTTTACTCTTAAATATGTATAATTAACACACATTATGATGCGTTAGATTGGAAATCATCAGTCGAGTAAGTATTTTGATAATCTTTTAAGGTTTAGGCAAAAACGCCCCACTTTTAGTTCAGTGTCACATGTGTTTGAGACGAAATGATCATACAACTGGATAAATGAGACTTGGATTATCAGTTGTGTAAGAGTTTGTAAATGGATCTTTTGGTATAGTTTCACTGTTGTTAGCAACGTACCCTCATACAACAGTTCATATGATATCCTATGAAAATGGACACTAAATGGTTCATATGATATCCTACGAATTGGCGCCCCATGAATGGCTTACGTACTCAACGTAAAGTTACACACTTTCAGAAGTTAGGTTTAGGAGAGTAAAGTTACTGTAATTAGGTTCAGGAAAAGAAACATGGTGACGATGTACCTTAAAATGACTCAAAGTCCACTCAAAGTCTGGTTCCGAACACCGGTCTCCTTTGGAAGGTCACGGGGGAATGTCTTTATGATCCATTCATGGCCCCAACCTTCTTCCCTGTGGGACCTCTTCCTGCTTTATTCTTTACTCCCATCAGTGCATTGGTCACATGATCACAGCCTTCCAAAATAGGTGGGCTATGCACGGATTACTGGCTCATCATCAAAATAAGGTGCGACCCTAATATGTGTATCCCATCATTTCACACGCCTTGGGGTTTCTTTGAGCCCTGAAATACCCACAAGGTCAGGAAAGTGAGAAGCAGTAACAAATATACTCTTAAAGCAGAGCTCTTAAAGTCTAAAAATCCATCAGTCCATCCCTCCATCATCACACATTAGTCGTGTCTTTCCTTGAGTCTTTATTTCAGCAATTAATGTGTGTTTATCAATAAAACCAGAGTTAGAGAAAATCCCTTTAAGAGCGGCTTGGCAAGGACACCAAGGAGTGAGCCACGATTTTTCAAGGGATTGCAGAGGTTTCTTCGTTTTTCCTCCTGCGGTCTTTTCTTCCTTTCTTTTAGCCTTTGATCGCTCTCAGCATGGCTGCCGTCTGTCTCATAATGAAAGGATAACAGAAATGGCAACAAAAGACCTTATGGCTGTAATTTGATTAATTTCATGTTATAATAATGTTTCTAATATGACACAAAACCCAGGTGAAGCTCCAGCGTGACACACACACACCTTATGTATCCACGCTGACCTGAGCACACACTCACAAGAATGTAACATGCAGTTGGCTTAGGTTTCTTCTTGATTAGTATCAGCCCATTTACCTGTGAGACTCTCTGTCCCAGAGCCAATTATCTTCCCTTATCTGTGTACAGTTTGCTTTTGTGTGCGCTTCTGTGTGTGCTGTGTATGTAATGCGTGTGTGTGTCACACTTTTTCTTCCTGTGTGTTGGGGAGGTGTGTGATTGGCAGGTACAGGAGTGTGAGAAAGTTCTCCGTCAGAAAGCCTACCTGGATCAGTTTCAGGGCTGGGCTGCAGGGAGAGAGGGAGGGAGCTGGGACACACAGTGGCAACGTCAGTGCATTTGGGGCTGAAAGGCTCGCTTTATCTGGCCATCTCTGGGAGGTGGAGGAGGGGGAGGGAGGGAGAGTGGGAGAGTGATCCCCCTGCCCCAGGTGAGGGGATGAACAGGTGAGCGTAGTCATTATGAGGAAAGGTGAGCTCTCTCTGTCCCTTGCCCTCCCTCGCTTGGTCTTTCTTTCTTTTTCCCACTAATCTCCTCGGGGAGATGTGTGCTGTCGAATGTGTGTGTTTCTGTGTTTGCTTATGAATGCGAACAAAGTTGTAATTTGTTGTGTTGTGTTTGTTTTGCGTATAATGTTATCAAGATTGCAGGGAGGGGGTTTCATCCCTGTAAGTCTGTGCAGTGATTGCTCTGGTTAAAGCTCCGGCCGTCTGCTGATGTCTCACTTTTTTTAAACGACTGATTTTATCCAAGTTTCCGTGACATCTAGTACAGATAAAATAGGATTAAATACCAAACAAAAGATCCAGGACCTTGTCTAAGACAACAGGGGAAGGACAGGAGGAGCAAAGGAGCGTTGTACTAATGACAGATAATGGTACTAATTTGTGCATGTAGAAGTACTTTATTTTGAAAATTAGAAATGTATAGAGCTGGGAATTGGTAAGATTTTGTTGACACCAATGCCATTATCGAGTCTGCTTATTGATCCGACTCTTTATCGATTCCCTTATTAACTCCTGATCAATTTTCTGTGTGGGGAAAACAGTAGCCCCAGAAAGGTTTTTCAGCATCTGAACACAGTGATGAAACTGAGTAGAGAAAAGGCATGCATGTGATATTTAGGATATTCAGGATATTTACCCTCAGTTATGGATGTGCTAATTGGTTGGAAAGCAGTGGCACTCATGTGTAGAGAGTCAAATACATGCCATTCCTGGTCTTTAGGCCCATGTTGTGGAGAAAGATGTTTCAGCATATTGCTGGTGTTTCCGTCCTCACTTGCTTTATAATTTTACAGGCTGTTGTCATCTGTCTTCGTGAAATTAAGCCACACTCATTTTTCTTCCTCTCCATCACGACTACTTCTTGTTAGACATGTTAGATGTTGTATGAGAAGATTGGCACCACTCTCATGTCTGTGCATCTAGTATGAAGCTACAGCCTGCAGCTAAGAAAAAGCTTACGTAGCTCTGTCCAAGGTTTAAACATTGGCCACACAAACTAACATGTTTTGGGCTACTTTGTCTGTTTGATCCATAAAAAACACATGTAAAAACAATTTGGAACAATTCATGAAGTCATGTCTTCCCTGACACATAGGCCGAGCTCCCAACCCAGTCGCCAGAAAAAAATGTTGGCATTGAACGTTTCTCCAAACCACAGATACGTTACATTTAAAAACTTTGTACATATCATATCATTGTTTGTAAACTTTCATTTTACGAAAACCATGAGCACCAGGGAAGACCGTAATTCATTTAGATTTACTGGCATGACGATAAAAGAAATGGCGACTCCCTTCCTCTGAATCTGATTAATTCCTCGATTACCTG